TGTAATAGCCCCTAGTCCTAAACGGGTCTAACTTCGTGTAAGTGGCCTCCTGAGCGGCTATTTATGGTCATTTCTGTGAGGCACTGTCTTTAAAACCTTGGCATTTAGTACCTTCTTCCTATCCCCATGACTTGGAATACATAAGGACTATGATAAATCATATAGCCAGGCGTGGAGACATACTCTTTGCTGGAAGAGATTTCTGAGGCCTGAGGGGCAAACCGAGGAGCTCTGGTTTATAGCCCTGAACCAGACAGACACGTATGAGGTTGGCCAGATGACGCAGTACATGTGAGAACGCAGCACAATCCTGGTACGTGGTCTTCAATATGGCGGAACTTGTCAAATTTGCTTGTTTCCTGTGTGTGCATTAGGATTTGGTCCCTTCAGGAGTCACATGGATTTGAAAATGGTAGGTAGGTGGGAGTACTAAAAATCCACAAAGATTAGGAATGGCATCCATAAAAATTATATTTTGCTGCTATACAAGAAAGCTATTACTTTTCTCCAAATAAATCTTGGATCAGAAAAAAATAAAATAAAATAAAATCCACAAGATAATTCAACAAAATGATCTGAGGTATAAAAAATAAGTATAAGCCTAGTTTGACATCTAATGCTTCAGCAAGTCTAGCTACTGTGATATACTGCAGGGAGAGGAAGAGGACCAGAATTCATAGCGTCTACCAGAAGCAGGTCTCTGCATGGAGACTGGCATGTCTAGTTTTAGTTATCTGAGGGAGATCTATTTGAACTAGGACTCGCATACTGAACACTTATCATAAAGCCATCAGTGGGCCAAATGGCTTAATACATTTCTACCTCGTTGACTCCTCATACCAATTCAGGGAGGCAAGTGGTAGTATTATTCTCATTTGGCAAATTCAGAAACTGAGTCTCAGTAACAATCCTGGGTCAAACAGCCATCAAGGGGAAAAAAGAGGATCCAAATCCCTGTGGACCTTATGTACTTCCTTTGCACATGATGAACAGCATACTACGTCAGCATACTACGCCTGAAAACAATGTATAGATATGTTATTCTCCTGAAATCTTACAAAGCTCCTTTGCTAATGTTCAAGAATGCCAGGTCATCTACTTTGGTTGAAACGAAGCACATCAGACTGGTTGCAGAAGCTCCGAATTACCTCAGATCTTCAGATAAAAGAAACAGCACATTAATTCACTTAGCATCACATTCTTCAGGGGAGGAAATTGAAATACGGTTTTAACTTGATTACTTTGCTCATTCTTACCTGGGCAGACCAAAGCAATCATACAGAATTTCCTTCCTCTCTCTCCTTCACAAGATGCCTGGGACAGGCTGTGAACACACCACCTTCTCCCCCTGGTCCTAAGGGTCAAATCAAACGAAGAGACTGTTCGCTGCAGATGGGCAGGCTTCGTCACACACCAGTTCTCCAAATTGGTTGCCTGGCACAGAAGATGATTCAAGTAAAACTGAAGTAATTTTCAAAACTGAAACTTAAGCTTTTCAGCAACACGAGCCAAGTGCGTTAGTCTTGGACCCCCCAACACTTTCTTGGCGCCTAGTAGCAGCTCAACTGTTCTTTGGTCATCATAATTAGCCTGATTGTCCTAGACAGGAAGGATGGATGCGGGTAATGAAGCTCTGGCAGCCCAGCCTGTAGCAAACCTCCACTCCCAGAGACATTTCCCAGCACTGTTTTGAGGAATATTATGGATCAGTAATATTCAGAGACTGGTGGCTGACACATGGCAGTACAATGACCAAGCAGCCTGCTCCGACCCAGAGATTTTTTAAAGACAAAGAGAGCACAGAAGCAAAGAAGCCAAACATAAGCAGGGCTCCTGGACAACAGAGCAAGGGCGCTCAGTGAAAGGACAGCACATGACCAGGGCTTCTCTTCCTTCTGATCCTCACCCATCCATCCCCCACCCCTGCCCAGACAGTTGGGCGGTGACAACATTCTCCTCGGAACAGAGCCCAGTTTCTCCAGCAGCTGTGCCCAGAAGGCCATCAGATCCAGACTCTGGCAGCTGGGTGAGCCTCTGATCAGCCAGTTTCGGCCTTGAGGTCCCTCTCAATGCCAAAGAGGGGAAGGCCAGCGTTGCATTTCTGAGCACCAGAACTTGACCACGGCTTCCAAAGACTGACTCATAAGAACACACATCTAACAGAAGGATCTTCTTATTATCCAACAAGCCCACTGTTTCCATTTTTTTGTGTGTGTGTGTTGAAAAAAAGAAGAAAGAAAACCCAACCTTGAGTTGTGCTGGCCTGGAAGCACCCTGTTCCTTTCCTTCCCTGAGGCCACACTAACTGAGGGATTCTGCCAACAGTGTGAAGTTCAAGTTGAAATGGTGAAGTGGGAAGTTCCTCCTAAATTTTTCCCCCCTTGGGGTACAGTGAGTGGCAGTGGTGAGTAGGAGGAGTGGGATAAATAACTCCAAGAGGACTTCAGGTACTTGCTTTTAGTAATGGAAGTGACATCTAAGAGAGTCAGGTCCTGGTAAGAATGCATCCGTCATGCTGGAATTCCAAGTGTCATTCTTGTTATTTCTGTCATCTTGAGGGGAGTCACAGAGACTGGGCTTCAATTGTAACTCAATAGCACTTAATAGTAGGAATGTCCAGGGACGAGTGAAGAAAGTCCTCGTGACCTAAACTAACTCACCTGCAAAATGGGAATGAAAAAGCCAACTTTGTCGCCTAGAGGCTAAATGAGGTAACGTAGTAGGTGAAGTTCTTAGCGTGGGTAAGCGCTCCCTCAGTGGGGCTTTTTTTAATTAGTAAGATTAACATGTTGGGTTCACAGTACTGATTCCCTCATTTTTTGGCCTCTTACAGGGAAGCTCACGGCACGATGGTTCCAAGTGTCGGAGACAAAAAAGCCCCTGTTCTAAAAATGGTTGAAAAGAGTCTTTCCCTCTCCCTGATTCCCAGCTCCTCAGTGCCCTGTCAAAACATCTGGTCCCTTTTGTCCTTGGCTTTCCCTGTGCTATTAAAGCCAGTCCTCATCAGGAGCCACTTCCTGTTGACCTAAACATTTTTTTTTTATTCACCTTAACACTTCAAGATGATTAGAGTTGAAAGGGTAAGAACAAAGATGAAGGTCGAGCTTTTCTTTTCCCAGTGACCAATATGATTCCAATCGCTATTTTGAAAAAGAAAAAAAAATCTTCTTAAATATTATATTCTTATCTGTTAAAAATTTAAAAAGCACTTCTTTTTAAAATTCCCCTCCTTGTCTTGAGATTAACAGTTTGATTGAAAAAAAAAAAAGTAGGGTGTCTGGCAAAATATTCTCAGTGAACTGATAGGGTCATTCCTTAACCCAGAACATTCTCCTCGCCAGGTGTATACAATCTTGTTAAGCAAACTCTGATTTGGGATTTTTCGGGGATGCGGGGGTCCTGTCTCACTTCTTTCCCACGTCCATCCCTAGTAGTTCCTCCAAGATAAATTGCTTCAAGTAAAACTCTGAAAACTCTGAGTAAAGAGTAGGTCTGGATGGGAAAGGGGGATCTTAAGACACTTCATGAGCCTTTTTTTTTTTTGTCTACACTGACTACCCTTTGCTGTGGATTAGGCCACTGCTTATTACAAATTCAAATCCTATCTATATATTGTTCATGGTTCCTTTGTGTCATCAGGAAATTAAAGTTTGCAGCTGGCCCCTTCATCTTGGCTAATCATGCGGACATAAAGTCCTTAAAGGCCCTCAGAGTGGCCCCTGCAGGGGCCCCACTCAACATTTCTCTTTAGCAGGACATTGTTCTTCAGCTGTGTTTTCATCCCTTGCCCCTTGGGCATTAAGCTCCCGCTGCTTTTAGTCCCAGCGGTCAGACTCTCATGCGTCATTTTTACCATCTCCAGTCCAACACCCACGGGAAACCATGCTGAGCCCTGCAACCAGTTGGAAAAGTTTCAGAGGGTGGCAGGAGCTTCTCCTGCCTCTCAGGATGGCAGCCACATCCTGGAGAATCCACTCGGGGGAGCCAGGTGGAGCAGCATGGTCTCCCACGGCCTTAGTCTGTGGGGTCTCAAATCACAATTGCTCTGAGAGAAAGGAGGGTAATTACTGGGACCTGTTAGAGAAGGTCCAGGCTACTACTGCGGCAGAGCAGCCGCCAATTTGCCAGCTCCTCAAAAAATTGATCTGACGTGCTACAAAACCCTAAGCCTCCTCTCAGGGATCTTTTAATATCCGGCAGAGTTCACACCTGGTTTCTGAGATTCCTTGAATTAATTGAATTCTCATTAGAATACTTCCTGCCTGCCTTTTCCCAGCCTTAACTGTGTGTGACCTGAAGTTCATGGTGCAGCAACTGGGCTAGAGCGAATCTGTCTCCCTGGCGTCTTCAATTTCATTCCCACACCACTGTGGGCTCTCCACCTCTTCCCAGAGTGACTTGGAGCCGCCATGCCATTCACAGAGAGGAACTGAGAAGCCATCCACGGGCCTGACTTCTAGAAGGTCCCTTCTTTCAGCATTTTCTTATTAGTGTTGTCTTACAGGTTGTGTTCACGCTGTGTCCTATGCAGTGGTACCATTTCCCCGCCCCCCCCCAACAACTGTATTTTCTTTGACTTTCCACTGGTTTTAGATGCATATTTACCTTTGATACATTAGAAATTGTGGGTATATTTGTGATGTACCTTATTATAAATAATCATTGTCCAGGAGGCTGGAAAATACTAGGCTCCTACATATTTATTCCACACATAGACTCTAGGTTTGTCCTGTACGTTTGTAACTATATCCACTGTATACCCATTTTAAGATACAGTCTTTCCTTATGTTTACCACCTGGGACAGTTCAGTGATGCAAACCCCTTTACACATCTCCCTACCAAGTTGTAACTATTTTATTATGTTGAGACTAATTCATTTTTCTTAAGGAGATCTTGTTTCATTTCTGATTTGCCTTGGAATTTTACCCCATTTACAGCAGGCATAGTCTCATAGTGACATCACCCTGGCTAGAATATGGAAGGAAGAATGTGAATGGCAGGAGGATAATGCATCATCTAGTCATCAGATCTGAAAGGCAGAAAAGTTTGGGAAGGTAGATACCAAAGGACAGAAAGATTTCTCTTCGACTTGGTAAAAACACTTATTTTTCAACACTCAGCTCAAATATAGTGATACCTCTAATGACATTCTTCTCTCCATCACCGATAAATCCTAAGTCCTTGTCCTATCTCGAAGCATCTCTAAGGTTTAGTGGACAAACTTATTTACATCTCTGCATCCCCAGTAGACAATAGCTGCCTGACATTAAGGACCATATCTAACTCAGAAGTTAGGAGAAGGATTGTAGTTGGATGAATGAGAGACTAAGCACATAAATGTCCCTTCTATTTCAGGCTGAGTTTTGACCCTTTGTAACACCAGGCCAGAGGGCAGGAAGAAGATTGTCATGTCAGCAAGCCAATCCTTTTCTACCCCTACTCTCTACAAGTATTCTGCAAGCTCTGAGCTCTTGTTTCCTATTCATTTTTTTTTTTTCTGATCTCTGATTACACGTTGCTTCCTCTGGAAAGTTTTCTCTGATACCCTAAAATAAGTTTGTTCTTTTTGGTTTTAAACATTTTATGGTTCTTACATTCTCATAACACATCATACTTATTGTCCTTGGGACTTGAGGACCAGGCTCCCTTCTTCCTGGATGAGACAGGCGTGGAGGTGGGTGGGGGAGCAGGAAAGTACACATGCTCAATTCCTTCCTTCCTGTCATTAGTCAGTCTGGGATAAATATGAAGGGGGGGGGCCCGGGAGCCAGAGATACACTTATGAGTCCATAGAGATGAAAATTCTCTCATCTTTTTTAGAACCATATCCCTACTCCTTGCCCCAAGAAGTTGTTTATTTAAAATATAAATGCAAGAAATGTCTTATTCCATATTGCAATTCATCATCTAGCAGAGTGTTGATATCAGCAGCCACAATAATTTATTAATGGAAGCTACGAGGAAGGAAGGAAGGAAGGAAGGAAGGAAGGAAGGAAG